TCGACCGAAACCGAACCTTCGGTCGGACACTAACGACATGTAATACGTTGGTAACCTAACCTCTAACTTACGATGGCAAAAGTGCACTGATTCAAATGTCGCTTATATAATAAAAATCAAACTGAAAAGTTCACCCCGATTATTCTGAATCTAAATCCTAGTTTTTTTATCCAATTCCGAAGAGTTTTGTCACATCAACTCACTTCATGGCCGGAAGTATTCAATTTCTTCCTTGTGATTTCTGTTGTAAGAATCTCATTGCTTTTGTAACAGTCGTATATTGTTTTTATCAATGATTTTATTAGATGATCATCTGAAGGTTTTGGTAATCCTGTATCACATCGCTTCTTGCGTTCATAAAGTTTGTTTTTGACTATTTTCGTACAGTTGAGAAAGGAATTTCGGTCAAATCTGATGTTGCTTGTAATAGTTTGTTTCCCTCGAAACTAAACTTGAGATGTAGATTATCATATACATTGAAACATACTCACCACGTTTCAATATTCAAATGTATCCAAATCTTATTCACTGATATTTCTTTTTTGCATTGTTCACCATCGCCATTGGAATTACTATACTGGATAAAGTCTGCGTTGTTATCACACTCGTTATTACTACCAGTACTTGTCCAAGGACGCCACATTTTAAACAGATAACAAAAATTTTAAGTAATTATAACTGCACCAATATCGAATTTCAACACCAAATCGCGATCAGTTCCTGAACTGAACACGAAGGCGATAACCATCCCCGCATTCGCGATTTCGTCACCATAACATGACTTCAAATTTAATTTCATGACTTTTCAGCCAATCATAAAACTCGTTTAGTAAAAATTATCCAATACGAAACGTCTAGTCTACAGTGCACATAAACTATCTCGCTGCCGGTTTATTTCTATGAATTGGTTTTTTTGGCCTTTGAGAGTGCTGCCAACTTCAAGAGTGCACAATATCGTTTACTTCGACTATACAGATTGGTGAGTTTGTTTTTTCTTTCAATACGACCGATTCAATCGGATTTCTTCAAGAAAGAATGTCTTTATTCGTTAAATCGAAAGTCAGGAATGATTTGTTGCCCAAATTATTCGGGTGAATTCCTGTGGACAGACTTGCGCAATAGATGATGCTTAATTATGAGAACGGAGGGAGAGAAGGGCATTTCAGGAAGAAAGTGGTGGACGAGAATCTCGAGAAAAGGTTTTGATTAGTGGTGAGCCGTCTGGTTCAATTTCAAGATTTTGAACGAAATAGTTTCTGATATAGTTTCACATATAGAGTTTGAGAGTTCCATAAAAGGGTGCACTTCCTGAGGATTCTACTGAGTCACATCCACTTTTACAAAAGGAGCGACGCCATCTCATTGGAAAGTATGAAAACTCATTTTGATTCTTTTATTTGCATATGAGATTCACCTTTCAGTAAATCGAATTTTAGAATGAATTCCCATTATGGAAATTATTCTTTTTAGGGTTTTTAATGTTGGAGACTTTTTACGATAGTTTTTCTGCAGAATTTGTCTGGAATCCATGAAGAGGGAAGAACAAAAATGGAATAGATTTTCAGTTAATTTTCCGAATGCTGGTTTTTTCATTCGTCCAGTTCGATGAATGACATTGTCCACGTCTACAAGATAGTCCATGTCCATTTTATCAATTAGAAAAGTACGTGCTCCAAGTCTTTCTCGTTCCTGGTAGAAGAAAACTACAACTACAGCTCGACAAAAAACTTACAGGCAAATTTTACTTATACTTGACTCATTTCTATGACAATAATTTTTTAATCATTAGAAAGACGAAGAGCTGCCGTACGCATTGTGCCTATCTTTCGACTAAATTCATCATAATTTTTGTAATACATGAAAGATAAGGCCACAAATAAAAAACAGAGTACGGTAAGTAAATCCCCATTTTGCATTGTGGGATCCCCTGCTACCGGAATCGAAACGATCGTCATCTAAGTAGAGAGCAACTGGTGAAACCCGTTCAAAGCGCCCGAAAGCACAACAATCGGCTGGAAAGGTTATGGCCGCGGTATTTTGGGATGCGAGAGGTGTAATATTCATCGCCTATCTTGAGAAGGGAAATACCATTAGGCCCGTGACTTCTCAGCCCATGTGTTAGGTATAGTAGATTAATAAACAAAAGCAATATTTTTACATTATTGAAATTAGTTCTTGGTTTTTGGAAATCCCTGTTGTGTTGGATTGAAAATAGTGAAATAGCTGCTACAGATATTGAAAAAGCGTTTTGAACTTTTCTTTAAATTGGTATTCAATACTACACATTTTCTTTATCTTTATTGGTATTTTAAATAGGTGACTGCGCTTAAAACCATAACTATTACAAGATTTTACGGTAACATAACTCATTCACGTCACATTGCCATTGAAATTTCATTTTTATTCACCTTATTTTTCATTGAGTCTGACACCCTCTTCATTCAACAACAAGCCAATAACAGAATTATGAGATAATCACGAAATGATATTTGATGAATCTAAAAGCTGATAATGAAGGCAATTTGTTGGAACTTTTTGATTTAACTCTGCACTCGGGCAGAGCTCTTTCTGTTTGAATTTTATTAAAACTCTCAACTTTTTGCTGCACATAGGTATTACAAAATCTCGTCACACTTGAACTTAAATTAAAAATTTTGACGAACAAGTCACATGAATAAGAAATTACTTGCTCTGAAGGGAGGTTTAATGTGGTGGAAAAGTAGCACATTAAATCGATAGCTTTACTTCGATATAGAAAATTGCTTGACTTCAGGTACCAAATTTTTATTAAAATCTTTCAATTCTATAGGATTATCTCAGTATTATGAGTGTTTGTGTTGATGTGTTGAATTTTTTTCTATTGTACTATTCCGATGGTGATGTCATTCCATTTGGAACCGAGGGGAAATATCTTGGCATTATCCTTGATAAAAAATTCACCAGGAACGCTCACTTGAAAAAAGTTTCACACAAAGCCAGACTGTCTCTATGGACATGTCGAAGGATTTGTGGTAAAACTTGGGGCTTAGGTCCCAAACAAATCCATTGGATTTATGTGATGATTGTCACACCAATGGTACAATTGTCTGGTGGCCGAAGGCTCTACAGAAAACGGCCCAGGCGAAGCTCTCTGGCTTACAGAGACAGGCTTGTCTAGCCATCAGTGGATCCATCGGTACCACACCGTCAGCGGCCATGGAGATCCTTCTAGATCTACCCCCTTTCCACATTTTTAGGAGAGAGAGGCTGGAAATGACCTCTGACTTTGTGCCTCCAGCTGTCAACTACGAACTGCCTCATAAAGTACTGTTCCCGAGCAGACAGGACTCAATTCTCCGGGAGAAGGATTTATTAAGAGCAGATAGTTGTTGGTTCACAGATGGATCAAAAAACCTTTCGGTTCTGGTGCAGGAGTTTTCTGTCACAGACCCAGGACAAAGATATCAACCTGCCTAGGAACCTATGCGACTGTATTTCAAGCGGAAATTGTCGTCATTGAATTGTGTGCGGAGAGATTGGAAGAATCCAACTTCATACACAAGTCAATAAAAATATTCTCGTACAGTCAAGCGGCGTTGGAAACTCTTGGCTCCTACCGAGCAACGTCTTAGTTGGTAGCAAATTGCCAAAAACGATTCTCCTCGGTAGGAAGACTCAACAAATTGTTTCTGGTCTGGATTNTGTTCCAATAATTGAAAATCTATTTCGGCAGTTGTTTCGCCAACAGCATATGCTGGAATAACTTCAGTGAAAAATCATGCACTGACACCTGTCGGTTATAATCCAACGCCGTCGTATTAGCCAGGGGAGTAGTTGTTTTCTGATAGGTGTTAATCAAATAACCTAAGTGTAGGGAGTTGAGACTGGCCTGAACGAAGTGTTTCTATCAGATGATTCGATTTATAGCCAGTCTTTAGGTATGCCCACTGACTATATGTGAAAAGTTATCTATTTTTGATATGTTCATTGTTGAGGGGATTGTTTCAATTTTCACTAAATTTGATCGCTTCGTGCACAAATATTTGTGCACATTTTAATGTGCACATTGCAATTGTAATGCTTATTGTATGAAATATTACTAATCATTACAATTTTTATTACATATATTTTTCGAAAACGCTAGTCATTTACCAACAGAATTCTTGCCTATGGTTAAACAGATTACTATGGAACGCCGTTTTACTTTTTATTGTCACAAATATTCACTCCTCAATTTATTCAACTAACAATTCATTTGTTTGAATTTAATTGATTCATGCATTTGTTCGACACATTAAAAACGATTGTTCGCAAAATTTGTTCTATTTTAAATGACACTTGA